ATCGTCAACAATTTTAAAAATTAAAATTCGTTTAAAAAAAATATAAAATTAGAATTTTACAGACCATCTCTCCCGAACTTACCCTATATAATGTTAGAGGAAGTTTGTTTTAATTTTGTGGTTTTCTCATGTTTTTCTATTCCTATTTAAACTAAAATCACTCGACCACAAGAAGATTTAATTAGGTTTATTTTATTTACAAAAATTTTAGATTTTAGTGAAAAAAGCAATAATCTTTGAATTGAATAAATAATATGTTGTAACTCTGCGGATGCAGCAAAAAAATAATACACTAATTTTTCATTTATTGATCTAGTAAATTGGGTCAAAAATAAATTAAACTATTTTTTGCATCTTTTTCGAGTATTCTCCACGATTTTCCTCATATTTTCACAAAAAAATCGAAAAACCATCAATTTTTTTATTTTATTTTTTTACAAAGATTTTACTAACAGAGTAAAAAATGTTGTAGTTTTTTTTGTAATTACATTTTTTAGCTACAAATATAAAATTTCGTTAAAAACAAGCCAAAAATCGTCTTATTTTTGCCCTTTAGCAAGTTTTTGGGATAAAAACCCAACAAATTAAAAAAACATCGATTAAACAGCCTAAAAATACGAAATTAAATTATTTTCTAGTTTGTTTCGCTTGATTTAACTGAATTTTGAGTGAAATTAAGACAAAATTTGGGCGAAAACGCTTTTAATTAAGTGTTTGTACTAAAATCATAAGTTTTTCACTAGTTTTTGCTAACAAACCAAAAAGTCAACAAATTAAGTTGAAGATTTTCGCATTTCTCGAGCGTTTTGTCACGTTTTTAATCTAGAAACGCAATTTTTCAGCAAAATTTTCCAAAAAGTCAACAAATTAAGTTGAAGATTTTCGCATTTCTCGAGCGTTTTGTCACGTTTTTAATCCAGAAACGCAATTTTTCAGCAAAATTTTGTTTAAAACAATCCGAAAAAAGTCATTTTTGCGATTTTTCAGTTTTTCGAGAGTTTAAGAGACAATTACAAAATTATTTGAAGTTTTTATTTCTAACAAATTAATTGACAAATGTTTAATTACCACTCAATAAACTAATAACAAACCAAAAAATCCTCACTCAAAAATCTGCTCATGATGATATGAGAAAGAAACATTCGTGGTTTTAATTAAAAATTAAAATAAAAAATATAATTTTACAGACCATCTCTTCCGAACTTACCCTATCTAATTTTAGAGGAAGTGTGTTTTAATTTTGTAGTTTTCTCATTTGTTTCTAAATTTTACAATTGTTTTAGTTTATTTTAGTGTAAAAAGTAATTATTTTTTAATTGAATAAATACGAAAAAATCGGTAATTTGGAATTGGTTTCTAATTAAAATCGGACCACATTCCAAATTTCCATCAAATTTTTCCATCTACGATTCCAATCGAATGTTGCAAAAAAGTGTGGAATTCGCGTCGTGTCCAAATTTTTGCATAAGTTGCAAGGACTCAAAACCCGTCGTTTATCACACTATCAGTCATAATGACCCCATTAGCACATCATATTCTTTTTTTTAGTCCACAGACTTGAAAAATTTTTATTAGTAAAATCAATACATGAACAGCTTTGAGACAGAAACTATTTTGTATAAATAGGCCCAAAAACATACTTATTTGAAAGGTTTGAAGCTTAATTTAAGAAATTTTGCCGAAAACAGGCCAAAAATCATCGTTTTAAGTCTGTATCACCATATTTTTAAAACAGAAACTCGCTTATTTCAATTCCTCATTCTAGTTTAGAATTTCGCTATTTCAGACATTATTGAGCAATTTTTAAGCCAAAAATTCAAAAGATTTTGTTAAAACAGATCAGAAAATCCTGCGATTAGCCCACAGAAATGCAAAGAAAAGAAAACTAAGAAGAAAAATTGCAAAATTAAGCTTGAAATGTTATTTTTCTATGTGCATGTATTTAGCGCATTTTTTGTCAAAACAAAAAAAATCAAAGCAAATATCAAATTCGTTATTTTCGCTTACTTCAATAAATTTACAGTGTTTCACTGAAAAACTCACAAAATTCCAAAAATTTTGTCAAAACAAACAAGAAAAAATGAAAGAAGAAAATTAATTAAAATGAAAAATTTTAGTGTAGGTGAGACCTTAAAA